GAGGGCTTTATCTGCAGAGTCCCTGGAGGCCTGGGCATCAGGCACTGGGAGAAAGATCAAAAGGAGAATGGTGAATGGCTCTCCATGGCCTAGTGACTACATCTATCAGGATAAAGGCCATCTAATTGGTCAGGCCTGCAAATGTGGTGATCATGCATTCTGATTGACTGGTCAGGCCTACATGTGGTGATCATGCCTTCTGATTGGTCAGGTGGGCCTACATGTAGTGATCTTATTTGTGGAAGTGGTAGTGGAAGTGGGCTTTTGTCATTAAAGTTCTTTTTCCAAAAGAACAGGTGACAACCAGTCTAGCCTGCTCGGTGAATTGTAAGCTTGTCAGAAAGAGACCCTGCCTCAAAAAACAAGGTGGATGGTTTCTGAGAATGACATATGAGGCTAATTTCTGACCTCCACATGTGTGCATCTGATGTATTTGCACACCCAGACACACACACACTCTCTCAAAAAAGGTCAGCCTTCAGCCTATATGTGGGGAGAGTGACTATTACTGCCCATTTTCCTCCACTGTCCTGAACATTCTACAGGATCTTCACTCTCCACCGTATCCCCTGTGGAGTGCCTCCAGTTACCTTTCAGGTCTCTTCTACTCTCCACTTAGGTGACATACAACCCTATCATGGTGGGCTGTTTATGAAGGCTGGAGACAGTAAATTATGTACCAGAAGGTGTATTTACCCTTACAAGGAGAGAGAAAACTCAGGCAACACCCTACCAGGTGTGTGGTATGCTAACCCTGGCTTCTGACAACCACTGTGACATTCTCCTCCACTGAATAGCACTAACTAGTTTAGAAATAGACAGTTGTGGAAATTTTAGTGTGTGAGTTGATGGTCACGAAAGACCTCAGGCCTCTGGTGGATCCTCGGAAGGGGGGCTTTCAGACAATAGGCTTTGTAGGAACTTCAGGGCATTGTCCCTCAGTGGTCTGGGCAGACACTCCAGTAAAGGATTCATCTGAAAGAGATCTGTGGGTGATACTTTTGTCTAATGGAATGAAGGGCAATAAGACTAATGGGAAACAGAGTGTTTGAGACAATTACACTTGTAATAACCAGTGTCAGGTCCAACTGAAGGAAAAGGAAACATGAAGAAGCATCTGGAGCAGGCAGGAAGCAGACTGAAAACTGGAGCTGCAAACCTGGCTACCACTCCTGGAACATCAGTGATGTGTGGGACCAGAGCCCAGGCTCTGTGGTGGTCCCCAAGACCCCCAATTAATTTCCCTCCCATGTGGAATAGGATTGATCTTTGCTAACAGTACTGTAGGGTGACGACAGTATGTGACAATCAAGACCCACCTTCCCCTCCTGAATTACCTGTTTTAGAGGACACCAGGAGCCACACAATAACATCGTTCAGCAGTCATACAGAGATGCACCTGTGACATGGAAGCGAGACCTGTAGCATCATTTGATAAGCTATTCCGGGAGCTCCAGATATGATGTCATTTAGAAGATATTCTGAAGGGCACATGGGAGCTCTCAATGACAGTGGTACTTGCCCTGTGCATCAGAGAGCCTCTCCCGTGGACATCCCGTGGCACTCCTAGTCTGAAAGTATGTAGCTAGCAGAATCGCTTTCTACAAAACACCGCCATAAGAGCAATGACTGTCCTCCTACTTATGGGGAAATTCCTATGATAAAGGCACTCCCAACACTTCTTCCTTTATGTTCTCAACAAACAATGTGAGATGGACTACTTTGAAGAAAGGGCTGGGGTGGTCAGTCCCATTTCTCAGACATAGACAATTCTCCAGAGGCTGCAGGTGTGTGCTAAGGACAAAGAAACGATGATGATGTGGATATCGTGGCATCAAGTTCAGGGCATTTCCCAAAGTATCCAGGCTCCATGCAGCTATTAGCTTCTTAAGTCCTCCCAGAATAACTCTGTGTACCATCTACTGTAGCATCCCACTTCATTACAAATGATGTTGCTATGAACATAGTGGAGCAGATGCCCTTGTTGTATGAATGTACATCTTTTGTGTATATGCCTAACAGTGGAATTGCTGGGTCTTGTGGGAGACTGGTTCCCATTTTCCTGAGGAATCTCCATACTGATTTCCAAAGTGGCTGTACAAGTTTGTATTCCCACCAGCAGTGGAGAAGTGTTCCCCTCTCTCCACATCCTCTCCAGCATAAACTGTCATTAGTGTTTTTGATTTTAGCCATTTTTATGGGAGTGAGATGTTTTGATTGGCATTTCCCAGATGGCTAAGGAAGTTGAACACTTTCTCAAGTGTCTCAAAGCCATTTTAGACTTCTCTATCGAGAATTCTCTATTTAGTTCTGTAGCCCACTTTTTAATTGGATCCTTTGGTATTTTGGAGACTTGTTTCTTGAGGTCTTTGTAAATTTCGGAGATCAGTCCTCTGTCAGATAAGGGGTTAGTGAATATCTTTTTCCATTCTGTGGGCTGCCTTTTTGTCTTGTTGACTATGTCCTTTGCCTTACAGAAGTTTCTTAGTTTCAGGAGGTCCCATTTGTTAATTGTCGATCCCAGTGTCTGAGATATTGGTGTTATGTTCAGGAAGTGGTCTCCTGTATCAATTCTATCAAGAGTACCTGTTGGGGAAGTCCTGTGTATATGTCAATAAATCACTGCTGGCCAATAGGAATCTAGATAGGTGGGGCTAGGACTCCAGGAGGATTCTGGGAAGGAGAAACACAGAGAGTCAACATGTAACGCCATGGGGGTAGGAAGCCTGGAACTATTCTCCGGTAAGAAACATACTTAGATTAACAATTATGGGGTAATTACTTAAGTCAGAGCTAGCTAGTAAGAAACAAGCAAGGCCAACGGCTTCATAATTAATACAGCGTCTTGTGTGTTTATTTGGGGACTACATCTCGGCAGAGCCCAGGCGGCTGGCGGGGGATAAACCACAGCGGCTAGCAAAGAAAAAGCTGCCCTTAACAAGTACCTCCCACTTTCTTTTCTAAGAGGTTCAGCGTGGCTGGATTTATGTTGAGGTCTTTGATTCATTTGGACTTAAGTTTTGTGCATGGTGATAGACATGGATCTATCTGCAGTCTTCTACATGCCAATATCCAGTTATGCCAGCACCATTTGTTGAAGATGCTTTCCTGAGTGAGGTAACCCAGCCACAAAAAGACAAACATGTCTGTACTCACTCATATATGGATTTTAGACATGGATCAGGGGAGTGCCAGTCTACAATCCCACTGCCAGAGAGTCTGGGAAACAGGAAAGAACTTAAGAGAGGTATGCATGGTACCCCAGAGAAGGAGAATGAGGTAAGATCTCCTGAGCAGATTGGGAGTGCAGGGGGGGGAGTGGGAACTGGGAAAGAGAGAGGGGGAGAAGAGGAGAGAGAAGGCCATGGGGGAGCAAGAAGGTTAAGTTGGGGGAAGAATAGGCGAGAACAGGATAAGAGATACCATAACAGAGGGAGTCATTATAGGTTTGAGGAGAGATCTGGCACCAATGAAGATCTCTTGCAAGCTGCAAGGATGACACCAACTGGCAAACTAAGCAACAGTGGAGAGGCTACCTTAAATGCCCAGCCCTGATAATGAGTTTGATGACTACCTTATATGCCATTCTAGAACCTTCATCCAGTGACTGATGGAAGCAGAGGCAGACACCTACAGCTAAACACTGAACTGAACCCCTGGAACCCAGTGACAGAGAGGGAGGAATGATGAGCAAAGGGGTAAAGAATGGGCTGGTGAAACCAACAGAAACAGCTGACCTGAACAAGGGGAAGCTCTTGGACCCCAGACGGACAGCTGGGAGGCCAGCATGGGACTGATCTAGACCCCCTGAATGTGGCTGTCAGTGAAGAGGCCTAGATAATCTATGGGGCCCTGGGCAGTAGATCAGTATGTATCTCTGGCATATAAATGGACTTTGTGTGTCCATACCACAAAGAGGGATGCTCTTTCAGCCTGGACTCCTGGGGGAGGGCCTAGGCCCTGCCCTGAACGAAATGACAGATTCTGGATATCCCCTATGGGGAAGGGAGTGGGGATAGGGTGTAATGCTGGAGAGGGGCTGGGGGTGTGGGAGGAGGGGAGGGAGAGGAAGCTGTGATTGACATGTGAAACAAGCTTGTTTCTAATTTTAAAAAATGTAAAATAATAATATAAAAAATATGCACCAGTTTTCATGGTTGGCCAGACAATGCTGCTATTGTTCCTTGTTGGAAGCTGCTTTCAGAGCCCACACCCTCCCCATTAAGCAGCACTACAGTGGAGCTATAATGTGATTTCTAACTTAAAAGCACAGAGAGCTTGAGCACTGACCTTAACCATCAGATCTGAGCTTTGCCCTAAACTCCAGTCTATCCCCACATGCTGGAATGTTACAGACGCTGAGTACACACTGCTGTGGGCTCCTGGGGACCATTCGAGACATTTCAGAAAGTTCAGCAACAATAGGCCCTCTAAAAAGAATTATATCCAGGAAAAGACCCTTCAGAAGGAATGTACAGCGATGATACTGGCAATGGTGGTGTGTGTGTGTGTGCTGTAAATGTCTAGTTTGATCTTCAGAAGCATCCTAAGCAGTAGGCTGCCACTCTCTCTGCTTTAACACAATCACGACCCATGGTCACACAGGTGGGATGCCCTGTACCACAAAGGACAGGGGTTTTAGAGGATCTTAAAATCTATGCTATGGACAGCTAGCTCCTCCCTGTAGTAACCACTGCCCACTGAGATTGGTCTGCTAGGGATACAATCCAAGCCTCAGGTCTGGCCCTTGCATATAAGTCTGCATTTTACTGTTTTATGCATACATAGTGTATGAAGTGAACACAGGTTCATCTTTGAGATATCCAAGTTTGAATTTCTAATCCAACTAATGCCCTTTCCTGGCTTCAGAGTGACTTCCTTCTGCACATAGCTAGAGCTCAAGGGTGCAGAGACCAAACTTCAAACTTACCTTTGTGTCTTCTTGTCTCCCAACAAGGTCAGTTGGGACAGAAGAAATTAATGAATATTTAATCCAAGACTCCACCTTCCCCTTTTTTATTAGCATGTATTATATATGAGTTTTATTATGACAGTCTCACACATGTATAAAATGTAGTTTGATCATATTCACCCCCATACCCTCGTTGGTCCAACTCCCATTGATCTCTTACCCTTCCCAACTAGATTTCTTTTCAGACCGCTCTCTCTCTCTCTGTGTCCCAAAGAGTTTCATTACGATTTCTCACAGGGGCATGGGACATCTTAGCAGTTACTATACCACTAGAGAAATTGTCTCCCATCCCAGGAAACCACCAATCATCCTCAGCTCCTCAGGGAGGAGCAGGTATCATGAGCTCCTTTCCCTCCCATTGCAGAATGGTGATAGGCTCCATCTTGTGCAGTCTAGATAAGGCAATTATGGCTACTGTTAGTTCATGAGGTCAGTGGTCATGTCACTCTCCCAGAAGACAGACTCCTCAACACTCCCCCCTTCCTCCAATGTTTGCATTCTTTCTACCACTTTTGCTACAGAGTCCCATGAGACGTAGAGGGGGTGATACAGATGTCCTGTCTACAGATGAGCATTCAACACTCACTATTCTCAGCACTCTGACCAGTTATGAGTCTCTGAAGGATAACTGCTGTCCGCTACAGAGAGAAGCTTCTCTGATCACAGCTGAGAGCAGCATTAATCTATGGGTATAGGCATAAATATATAGAAAGCAGTTTTACGGGCACAACTTCTTCGTGTAGCAAAATATAAATAGTAGACCCCACCTAGCTATGACCTCTCTAGCCATGAGCATCTGGACAGGTTTACAGTACCAGGGGCAAACTCTCTCCTGTGGAGCAGGTCTCCAATCCAATTAGTAAGTAGTTGGTATTCCTCTAGCAGACATGCCACTATTGCACAAGAGGTTACACCTTGCCTGTTATTGGTGGTGCAGTATGAAATGTCTACAGAGGAGTAAGACTGTCCTCCTGCTGCAGTCTGCACATAACCTTCTGGCACTGTGAAATCTAGCAAGCAGAGAAGATGAGTCCAGTTCAGTTCCAGCTTGATTTTTTTTCATGTGCTGCTGTTAAAGTGTATGGGGTCTTTTGTAATAGGGTCTTACTATCTAGTTCTGGTGGTCAACCAAGAGCATCAGTAACAGCCAATGGTGTTTTGGAAGCCTCAGGAGCATCCTTGACTAACAATTCATAAGGAAATAGCCTATTCCTGGCCTGGGGTTTAAAGTTTCATTGTTGAGTAGTAATTTGAAGACCTAGGAGTGGTACCAAATAACATGAAACATCTTTAAAAACCTGCATTCTTGAAAACCAACCCATGGAGTAAGCTCAGCTCCTATGTGTAATTTTCTCTTTATATGTTCAGAACTGTGGAAGGAGGAAACCAGGTAAGAAGAGTTAGCACCAAGAGTAGGACTAGAATTCCATCCCACAGAATAAACTCTGAGTCTTGACCTCCAGCCCTTCTGCCATGACCACGGACTTTAAACCACTCTACTACCTCCTGCAGGTCAAATGGCTGAGGCTCATAGCCTAGCTCTTTCTTGGCTTTCTCTAAGCTGAAGTAATGTGTGACACCAGTTTTATAAACCTCAGTGCGGGTGAGAAAAGGCTGGAAGTTGTAGAGCCTACCCAGAATGAAGTAGGTCATCTCTATTAGGAAAGCAAAGCAGTAAATGATGGAGACTGGCAGGCGGATGGATGGGAATGTGTAGCCCAGGCCTTCAATCAGTGGCCGAAAGAATTCAAAGTTATTAACAGGCCTACCATCTGAGATGAAGTAGGGCTGCCCAGAGGCAACATGGCCCTTGTCAGCTTTCAGAGCCTCAGAGGCCAGAATGTGAGCCTTTGCCAGGTTATCCACATGAACAAACTCAACCAGGTTATTGGGATCCCCATATACAAATCTGAACAGGCCTCTCTCAATGTAACTCACTATCCTGGGAAGGTGTCTTTGCTCTCCCGCCCCATAGATGCCAGCTGGCCTTAGTGCACAGGTTCTGAGGATGCCATTGCATTGCTTGAAAGCTGAGCCATTGGCTTCCAGCACCTTCTTCTCTGCAATAGATTTGGTCCGGGAGTAGTGATCTGTGTACAGGTGAGGAGGCAGGTAAGGTAGAGACTCATCCCCATTTCTGATGACTTGACCCCCAAAGACGACATTGACTGTACTTGTGTAAATTAACCTGGGTACTCCTCTCTCCAGGCAGGTCTGGAGGATGTTGTCTGTGCCTCTCACGTTGACCTCCTCAATCAGGGTTTTCATCAGCTGCTCCCTCCCAGACATACCATAAGAGGCGATATGGAACACACATGCAATGTCAGTGTCCCGGAAGGCCGTCTCCACGTCAGAGAGGCAGCAGATATCCCCACGGATGAATGTGATTCCCTCTGGAAGGTTCTGGGCAGGTTGGCTGATGTCAAACAGAATCACACGGACTCCTTTTTGGTTCAGAGCACAGCCGAGGCTGAGGCAAGAAAGATCAGTGTTAGATCAGGCCACCTTCTGGTAGTGTCTAGGGAAAGTATATAAAATAACTTGCCAATAAGGCAGGGCTCACCCAAGTCTTGTTAACACACCCTGAGTCACCTATCTTATGTATTCATTGCTGCAGGTCTCATTTAAAATTTGAAAACAGACAAACAAATAAGAAATCCTTTCAACAACATAAATGACAAGGTGTCTCTGTGACAGAACACCTACTGTGGTGTAAATGTGAAGCATCTCCCAAGGGCTCAGAAGTTGGTCCCCAGCTAGTGGTGCTATTTTGGGAGTTTATAGAACCTTAAGAGCTAGAGCCTTGCTGGAGGAAGTGGGCCACCAGAGGCAGGCCATGAGTACAATAGATAGACTCAGCTTCCTGTTGATTTTCTGCTTTCTGATTTCAGGGGCACTGTGAGGTGCTGCCTCCTGTTTCTCTGCCTTGTCCTCCCATTGTGAGGGGCTGCATCCCTTTAAACCTTGAGTCCAACTACACTTTCCACCCTTAAACTACTTCTTGTTAGGTATTTGGTCACAATGATGAGAAAAGAAACAAATACGGCTTAAAAATATCTTTGGTGAAATGAATAATCACCAGGCCCCAATTTACAGGTTTTAAAAATAATTTTTCTTGAAGTGGAATAGGTCTGTGCTTTTCAATTTTCAAGTCTAAGCAGTGAGCACCACAGTTTGCTTCTGTTTTAGCACAATACCGACACACCAAAGCCCATGAGACTTGAAAACTATCTAGTAAAATAATTCCATGAGGATGTTTTGTAGATGAACTGACCGGAAGCCAAAATATCCACCTCCTCCTGTTATGAGGATGGTTTCCTCTGGGAACCTTGGGGAGTCCATAGGAGACAGCAAAGGTACAACTGGACCTGCAAGAGGAGGCCACAACATTATGACCCTTATAAACACGTTTCATCTTGGTTCTAAGCTAACAAGAAGAAGGTGGCTGGCTTGCTACTCAGCATGTGTGAATCTCTGGTTACATGGCCAGTGCTGAGAAACCCAACCCAACCCAAACAACAGAATCTGTTAGTGCAGGAGAAACTTTGAGACACATGACTCTAGTCACACCTCTGCTACTTTAGCTGTACCCTTCACTTCTTGGCTGAGACACCCTGCTCTCTCTAAACCTTACTTTCCTGTAAGCTGTGTGATGTTCTATTTCAGGATGTCTTCATGCTTCTAGAAAAGCAGCAGCACATAGCAGAGAGAGTGAAGACAAAGAGATACTCTGTGGCACTCACTCACTACTAGTATCACACAGCCCCCTTCCACACCCCACTTTCTGTGCACAGGAGCTACTAAAAAAAGTACCATTGCTATCCTATTTTCCCACCAAGAATAAATAACACTCCTATGCATACCCAATGGATAGTCGACACCATGAGCCTATACTCTTAACCCCTGAAACATGGGGGAAAGAGAATGGTGTCTGGGTTCTCTTTAGCTGTGTGACTTTAGATCAGTAATTTGCTCTGGGCCTGTGGATTCATCCAAAAAGTTGAGCCAAGGACAAGCTTGCATGCCTAAAAAAGACAAGATGGGATAATGTAAACTAAATCCTCCTAACACACCACAAGGTATGATTACACCATAGATGCCATTTCTTGTTTCCTTTCTTCCAAGCTCTGATGTGTGTCAATTCATTATTTCCTATACAGTCATGATTAAGAGCTCTCAAGACACAGGGTTATAGAGGTCAACATGTCCTAGAAATTGTGTCTCTAGACAGTGAGGCTAACCGGATCACTCATGAAGTATCACAACTGTAGATAAGTCTCACCAACAGTCTCAGAGATGTGAGGATATAAGGAACAGGAGCAAGAACAATTCAGAGAACTGGGAAGAAGGTGCAGAGGATGGCATCTGGGTTCCATGAAGCAAGCACCACTATTATGCTACAAGAAAATTTGTGAAGACCAAGACATGAATGAGCACCTCTTTAATATATCAAATGGTGACCTTCTAACAATATACGTGTCTGTATGTGTGTGGCCACACATGTACATATTTATGTGTATTTCTTTATTTTTATTTTATATGTATGAGAGTTTTGCCTGTATGTTCTCATGTGTACCATGTGCATGAAGGACCCATAAGTGTTAGAAGAAGGTGTCAAATGCCCTTGAATAGGAGTTAAGACAGTTGTAAGCAGCCATGTAGGTGCTGGGAATCTAATCTGGGTGGTCTTAACCACTGAGCAGTCCTATCTTCTGCAGTGCTTGGGTTAGAACACAGCTCTCTCACATGCAAGGTATGTGCTCTACCACCAAGTCACATGTCCATCTTGCTTCCTGAAAATAGAATGCTCACATTTGGAACTGGAGTGGCCATGGCAGCAAATGTCATCAACTCTGTTGTGTGACACCGTTCCTTGACTTTATCCCTCATGCTGGGGACTGCTGACTGCTGTTTCCAGACTTCCAACCTTCACCTCTGTGACCTGGCTCAACAGCCCACTCTTCTGCCATCGACTCTCTGTGCTTGAGCCGAATGGATCTTCTCCTTTTCTTGGCACCATGCCAGGCTCCCTGGTGTGCCCTGGTCTCAGCACAGTGTGACACATGGCTCCGGCAGGTCCTGGCCAGTTGTAGCTTACTCAGCAGCAAGACCTTCTTCAGAGAGACTTCTCCTCACCCATCTCTGCTCTCCTCACTCTACAGCTACTCTGCCTTCTTCACGGCATGTGTCACTGCTAACTGTGTGGCTTTAAATTGTCTCATTCTTTCCCCTAGGATAAAAATTCCATGAGAAGGGAGTCCTTCCTTTTCCACTGGGGTATTCCTTCACTGAACCCAGAAATGGACAGATTCCCAATAAATATTTGCTAAACTTCTGGATGATTCTTAACAACACAAAACACAGCCAGTTTAATAAAACTGTGACAGACACAAAGGAGCAAGGTCCGGAGGTGTCATTGTAGTCCATGCTGTTTAATGCTACCATTTTAACTTCCTAAAAAGTGTGGAGTTACAGAATGAGACAGATGCCAGGCTCAGTGACACAGGGTTCTGGCACTGTGGCATTTACTATGGGAACAGAGACTTCCGCCAAAGTCTAAAGAACAAGATAAGTACCTGGTACTTCTCAAGGGAGCTGTATTCTGACTCATAGATGCTACAGGAGTGTAAATCTGTGGCACTTGGCTCTGTTGTTTTAGGGCATATGATGAGGTCTGGGAGTGCACGGGCCAAGCAAGGGAGGAAGAGGTTGTGTAGGTCCTTAAAGGGCACACTCTCTTTTTTTTTTAATGAGACAGGGTTTCTCTGTATTGTTTTGGAGGCTGTCGGTCCAGCCCGGCCTTGAACTCACAGAGATCCGCCTGCCTCTGCCTCCCGAGTGCTGGGATTAAAGGCGTGAGCCACCACCACCCGGCCAAAGGACACACTCTTAATGACCCAATGTCCTTCCTCTGGGTCCCACCTCACAAAAGGTCCCTCCATATCCCCACCATGGTGCTATAGGCAGGATGGAACCTAGGGCACAGGAGACACTGAAAATGCAAGTCATAACCCAATACCAAATGTGAAACAAAGTCACTTTTCTGAGTGACACACAGGCAAAGTGCTGCAGGAACGTGGAAGACGGTGGATGATTCTCAGCTCAGAGCTGAATTTGGACCACAGGAGGATTCAGGAAGACTGACACAAAGTGGACGGTTGTCACAGGCTTGGGGTATATCACAAATAAATGGAAGTCTCATGGGGAAGGTTATGTTGGACAAGTGCTATGGGGGTTCACAGTAGCTGGGATAGAACCCAAAGCCATCACATTACTTGGGGAAGGAGGATAGTTGGAATTGGCACAGAAAAAGCCTTGAGTCCCCTTAGGGTAATCTGAACTCCATTCTGTAGATAACAGGAAACTTGGTTGATAGCAGGGAACTGACAGGGCAGCCACATTTTCTAATAAAGAACGGGCTTCCCCTAGGGAAAGGGAAGGCTTGAACACAATCCAGGCAAGAAGTGATGAGGGGCTCCATGGGGGAAGGGGGATGCTGACAAGGACTAAGGGCCAGAATACCCAGCTGGGACCAAGGAGAAGAGGTGGAAAGATGTTGAGGCCACAGCAGATAGCATCTAGGAGAAGCTGGAGGAAGGTGATGACTCTGACAGAAGGAAGCTCAAAATTACCCACTTTGTAAGAAGAGCTGTGTCTATGGGGGCTGCTGAGCTGCTGGTAAAGTGCTGGTCGTGCAAGCACAAGAATCTGAGTTTACACCTAGACCCCCTGTGAACAAACAGCTGAGCATCACGGCATGCACTTGTGATGGGAGGTGGAGTGAAGCTCTCCAGTCAGCCAGCCTCGCCTAGCTGAAGAGGTCTAGGTCCTGGTAAGAGATCCGGCCTTAAAAGAACAATGTGAATGGTACCTGAAGAAGATATCCAAGGCTATCCTCTGACAGACAGGAAGGAAGGCAGGCAGGCAAATAGGATCCCCTCCCCTACCTCTCTCTCTCTCTCTCTCTCTCTCTCTCTCTCTCTCTCTCTCTCTCTCTCTCTCACACACACACACACACACACACACACACACACACACACACGACTAACAAGATGTCAGATAACAGAGTTCAAACTGTTTTAAATATCCCCACAGAATACCACTGTAAGGGACCCTAAGCATGGGTAAGGCCTCTAAGAGTCCAATTAAAAACTTGTGACAGAAACTTGCATTTATAACCATACATTCCAATTTAGTCATAAGCCCAGGGGTCAGGAATGTCCAGGTACTAGTGCCTCAGAAACTTGTCAAGCCTTGTTTCATAGAGATCAGAGGCAAGAACCTGCTGAATTGACCTACGGGAGGGACAGAAGAAAAACAAAATCCACAATTTAGCAAGAAGCCACAAAGAGTGCCCTAGGGTGTGACTTCACCCATAAAAACAAAAGCACATTATAAAAAAAGAAGCTGGGAATAGGAACTTTTCTACTTAAGTGTGGGGACTTTCAGATTCCCAAAACCCACACAAAAGCCTGGCACAGCTGAGTGTGTCTGTAAGCCCAGTGCTGGAAGGCAAGTGAAAAGGAACCACACATTCAGTAAGAGGCTCTGTCTCAAAAAAAAAGGATGGTAGAGAGTAGTGGACACTGGATGTCCATATTCACAGGAGTGAGCACACACCCATACCCACACATGCAATACAACAAAACACGCGCGCGCGCGCGCGCACACACACACACACACACACAGAGACAGACAGACAGACAGACAGAGATAGAGACAGAGAGAGATCAGCAAAGCAGTCCATAGAAATCCCCTTGAGGACTAAAGCAGGAGGAGAAAGAGTGTACAGTATCTCTCCATCCCCTTGAGGACTAAAGCAGGAGGAGAAAGAGTATACAGTATCTCTCCATCCCTTTCCCATTTCCAGCTACTTAGAGCTTCTGTGTTTTTGACTTAGCTTCCATCTGACTCCTCTTGGGGTCATACTGGATGATCATAACTGCTTGGAGGCTCTTCCAAAACGCAGCTTTGCTCAGTAATTGCTTTTCTGTTGGGATGGGGGGAGGCAGCATCTGACCTGAGCCGTCATTTTCTCAGAAACAGGTTAAAGTTAAGCACATGATTAAGGAAAAGGAAAGGAATCTTAATTACCCACAGAAGAAAGAAAGAAGTTTAAAATCTGCCTGACCTCTTGATAATGCTAAGGTAAAGTGAGGGTAACAGTTGACATCTCACAGGGGAGTTAGAGGCAGAAAGTAATGAAATATGACTGGGAATGTTTGAGATTTACAAAGACCTAATTAAATCTAAGGATCAGTAATAAAAACCTAAGATTATGCACACTGTTCCTTCAGCCCCGAGGTTCAAAGCCGTGATGCCGCTCACCCCTTGGCATCCTCGGCTCAGTGCAGACATAATTAGCATCTGGCCAATGGCATCTAAAGCAGGAAGAGTTTAAGATGTCCTCATGCTGGATGTGGCCTTTTGTTTCTGTAGTGCTGGGGAGGGGACCCAGGGCCTTGTGTGCTAGGCAAACATTCAACCACTGAGCTAAGTTGCCTGAAGAACCTGACTAATGGCAGCTGGGCTGGTGATGTGGCTTGGTAGGTAGAGGCTTACCTAGCATGTAGGGAGCCCCAGGTTCCTGCCCTCAGCACTGTATGAACAGGGCATAGCAGTGCAAGCCTATAATTCCAGCTCTCTGAAGGTAGAGCTAGGATATTCAGGCTAGAGAGCTCAAAGCCAGTCTGTTAAAAACAAACAAACAAACAAACAAACAAACAAACAAACCCAAAGCCCGTTTTATATAGATAAAGCACCCACCTGTCATCCCAGCACTGGAGAGCCAGAGGCAGGAGGATTACTACCTCAGGTTCATCCCAGCCTATGAAGGCTGTGTCTCAAAAAAAATCCCGTGCTAGAGAAATTGTTAAAAAAAAAAAAAGTGGTTACCCTCCCCCCAATTCATAATAAAGAAAATTAAAATACCTCCAGGGGGGGTGTGACCTTGTGATTAGGTATCTTCAATTTTTGAAAAAGTACTTGTCTGGGATAAATGTCCTTATGGCCCTGGGTCCTGGGAAACATGCGCCGTTTGTGTTCCATTGAAGGGTGTGAAAAGGATGCATTTGTGTTGAATATAATGCAGTAGAGAAGAAGATGCAGCTATCAGTGACAGAGAGAATCCCTGAAAGAGAGGGGGAGTCTAGACTCTGAAGGCAGAATAGACGGAACTGTATGTGTTAGAGGCTGGTGGGCAGTCACAGTCATCACCTCCTGTGGGTCAGGCTTTGTGTCCAGCCACCCACGCACGCTCCTCTTACCTAGATGTCTGTTACACGAAAGGCACTTGCAATTCTTTACAGTGCTGACAAAGAAGGAATGAAATGGAGTGATTTCCCCCTTGTACCTGTGTATTTGTACCTGCGTGTGGAGGTCAGAGCTCACCCTTAGCTCTTGGTTCTCAGGAGCCATCCCTCCTCTTCCTTCTCCCCCTCTTCTTCCTCCTTACCTTTTATTATTTTAAAACATGTACGTGACTGTGTATGCCTGTGTGAGTTTCTGCCATATATGTGCAGGTGCCCATGAGGGCCAGAAGAAGGCGCTGGATCCCCTGCGTCTGGCGTGAACCCCTGGGAACTGAACCCAGGTCCTCAGGAAGAGCAGTAAGTGCTCTTAACTGTTGAGCCATCTCCAGCCCAGCTTTTTTTTTTTTGAGACAGGGTCTCTCACTGCCTGGACTTATTGATTTGACTGGCTAGCCAGTGAGCCCCAAGGATCCATATGTCTCCAACTTCCCAGGACTAGATTCACATACATACCACCTGGGGGAATCAAACTCGGGGCCTCGTGCTTGTATGACAAGCACCTTATGACAAGTGCCTTGCTGATTAAGCCATCTTCTCATATCCCAAACCATTTTATAACCGCTATTACCAATCTGTTTTTCAAATTACCACAGAAACGATATGTGAATGTAGACTCCTTCTCTAGAACCATCTTCAGAAACAAGGGGGCATTTGGTAGACTGGAGATGGTAATCTAGAGAGGGTGAGCCCTCCACCGCTCTTCAAATAGCAACAGTCCTTGTCTTCTCTGCTACTCTCATGCCTCCTCCCATCTCAGAGATGCCATGCCTACTACTTCACCCTGCCACCGCCCTTCATTTCACAAGCCTGCCATTTCATAAGCCCTTAATGTACTGGGCACTGTACTACAACTTGTTTATAAATTATGTTACCGAGCATCACTGCCCTCAAGAGACAGTGCTAATTAGCAGGGATCATATTGCAGGTGAATAAACTGTGGCCCGGAGACAGAACGATCAACTCCAGGTTCCATAGGCCGTGAGTGGATACAGGAACCCATGTACCCACTAGGGCCAAGGGACATCTGACTCCACCACCAATGACTCAACCACAGCAGCCTCAGAGGACTGAGCAGGGTCCATGGTCTGAGGCACTAAGCATAGAGTCGATGTTGATTTCACAACCAAACATTCTGCAATGGCTCAGGAGGGCAAAGGAGAAGCTGCCTCATCTCCTTCCAGGCAGCGGGGTGCGTGGCACAGCATTACAGTTCTTATACCGGGAATCATGATCTACGGGTCCCAGATTTACATCAGCTGAACCCTTGTCTCCTCCTCCCTACAGTGCAAACCACAGCAACCACGGCTACACTGGGGGTTATTACCGGCAAGGGGTTTTAAAGGTGTACCACTGATGCTTAAGCACCAACCGGAGGAAGCAATTAGACTCATCTGATGCTCAGAGATGAGGAAAAGAGCTCTGATGCCTTGCTCACAAACCATGCAGGCTCAGCTGTACCCAGAGCTTGAGTCAGTTCTGGCTGACTCTTAACCTCAATGTCTTGGACCTGACATTGGTGTTGGGACAAGTCCAGATCATGTCATCATCCCAGTGGCTTCTTATTAATATGACTCACACACCTTGTCTAACACACATCTAATATGTACCTTTTTATTAAAAAAATCATCCTAACTGGCACCCCAGTTTGCCACTGTAATTGGGAAATCCAAATCATTTGTCACAAAGAGAGAGTGTCACACTCTCCCCTTCCCCATGCGATATTAAAGAAAGCTTTGAATTGATTCTGGCCTGGTGCCTGTGGGAGGCTGTGCATGGAGTCTTCTATCTTTAAAATTAAACAAAAAAAGCCAAAGGAAAAATAGGAGAGCTGGTGTCTAAGAACTTGACATTCTAGATGGCTCAGCTGAACTAGTACCTTGGAAACAGAGAGAACATGTCCCTACCATCTAGGTTGGTGCCACTCACAACCATATCCCACAGATGCCACTTGTCACCATCAACAGCCACTCAGCAGGTACCAGTGATCCTCAGCTGACACTTGCCACCCTCAACCATCAGCTATTACCCTCAACCACTACTTGTAACTCTCAAATGCCACCTATCACCCTCAACTGTCACCTTCAGTTTCTGTCATCCTCTGCCCCTGTTAACCTCAGCCAACCCCTGTCACAAGCCCGGTCAAAGTGCATTTAGGATTGCCCTGCCATACCAGAAGAGGGTGATGATAGGCCTTGCAACCCCGATCCACTCACAGAGACAGTCAACAGCGTGGCCTGTAGATGCACCGACGAGAGAGCAGACTCAGCCTCTGGTGCCTGCTGCCCACGCTGCTCTGGAGTAAAAGCTGTCAAACCAGCTACTGAATCCACTTCCGGGTCTGTCTAGGAAGCAGGGAGGTCCCTGCATCTCTATGATGAGCCTGTGGTTTGTTAATCTTCACCTGTAAGGTTGCAAGTCACTCTGTTAATATTCCCCAATTTCCCAACCAGTGTGCTCCAGAGTTCTTTAACAGGTCATCTAGACTCTTCTTCCTACCTTCACCTTCTGCTGCCAGGCTCCCACCTCTTTGTGTACCCCCGATAATGAGTGCAGAACCGATGAAAGAAGGGGTTTGGCTCAGTCTGTTTCCTTGGATGGATGGGTGGGTGGATGAGCCGATAGATGGGTGGACAGGTGAATAGATAGATGTATGGATAAATGAGTGGATGGATAGGTGGGTAGAAGCATGAGTAAATGGACGAATGGATGTGTGGGTGGATGGGTTGATGGACACCTGGGTAGAGAATGGATGGGCAACAGATGAAGGTCTGTAAGTAACTGAACATTCACTCTCCAGCTGTCTTTTTCTTTTTTTCATTTCATTTGCTTCACATGTCAATCCCAGTTCCCTCTCCCTTCCCGCTCCCCACCAGTCCCACAACCTCCCACCCCATCCCCCTCTGCTCCCCAGGGAGGGTAAGGCCTTCCATGGGGGATCTCCAAAGTCTGTCATATCATCTGGGGCAGAGCCTAGGCCCTCCCCCATGTGTCTAGGCTGAGAGAGCATCCTTCCATGTGGAATGTGCTCCCAAAGTTCATTCGAATGCCAGGGCCCGATAGATTGCCCAGGCCTCCTTACTGATACCCCAGTTCAGGGGGTCTGGATCAGTCCTATGCTGGCCTCTCAGCCATCAGTCTGGGGTCCATGAGCTCCCCCTTGTTCAGGTCAGCTATTTCTGTGAGTTTCATCAGCCTGGTCTTGACCCCTTTGTTCATCACTCCTCCATCTCTGCAACTGGATTCCAGGAGTTCAGTTCAGTGTTTAGCTGTGGTGTCTGCTTCTGCTTTCATCAGCTACTGGATGAAGGCTCTAGGATGGCATATAAGGTAGTCATTGATCTCATTATTGGGAAAGAGCATTTAAGGTAGCCTCTCCACTATTGCTTAGATTCTTAGTTGGGGTCATCCTTATAGATCTCTGGACATTTCCCTAGTGCCAGATTTCTCCTTAAACCTATAATAGCTCCCTCTATTATGGCATCTCTCATCCTCCTCTCCTCTATTCTTCCCCAGACTCAATCTTCCTGGTCCCCCATGTCCTCTCTCCCCTCTTCTTCTCCCCCTCTCTTTCTTCCAGTTCCCCCTCTCTTTCCCCATGCTCCCAATCTGCTCAGGAGATCCTGTCCCATTCCCCTTCTTTGGGGTACCATGAATATCTCTCTTGGGGTCCTCCCTGTTTCCCAGACTCTCTGGTGCTGGGATTGTAGGCTGGCACTCCTCTGTTCCATGTCTAATTTGTTAGACATAAGGATAGCTACACCCCGCTTGCTTCTATTGCCAGCATTCCCTCCATTTGTGTTTTCTTCATTGTCTCTATTTCAGTTTTCAGATCTTGAACTGTTTGACTTGTTTTCTTCATCTGTTCGATTGTTTTTTCTTGGCTTTCCTTGCTTTCTTTAAGAGATTTGTTGATTTCTTGCATTTTTTGTTTGTTTTTTTCTTCCATTTTCTTAAGGGATTTTCTCATATCCTCTTTGAGGGCCTCTACCATTTTCTTTTCTTTTCTTTTTTTTTTTAGTCAATACGTTTAATTTTATTTACTTAGAGCCCTAAATAAAATGTGGTAAGAAGCCGGGCAGTGGTGGCACACACCTTTAATCCCAGCACTCGGAGGCAGAGAGGGCCTCTACCATTTTCATGAGGTTGTTTTAAAGGTCATTCTCTTCTGTTTCATCTGTGTTGGGATGCTCAGGTCTTGCTGGTGTTGACTCTGGTGGTGGCATATAAGTCTTTCTGTTGTTGGATGTGATCTTATACTGTTGTCTTCCCATCTCTTCTTCCAGTGGATATAGGTGGGGTCTCCCCTTTCCTGGTGGGTATGGGTTCAAGGCTCCATACTCCCCCCTCCTCTCTGTTTCTATCTTTCTCTCCACCAGAGGGTGGAGGGGCAAGTCTGGAATGGTGGGCCGATGATACTGGCTGCTTTGTACTGCCTCCAGGTCCTTCTGGGGATTCAGCGGCAGGAAGGGTCTGGTGGTGGAGGGTCAGGGGACTCAGAAGAGGGGGAGGTGAGCTAGAAGAGCCCCTGGGACTCACCTCTCTACCGGAGGGTGGAGGGGCAAGACCTGAATTCCAAGTATCTTTAAAAATATTTTATTTTATGCTTTCTGCATGAATGTTTTGCCTGTATGTTTGTGCACCACATACATACCTGATGCCTGAGGAAGTCAGAAGAGGGCATCAGATCTCCTAAAACTGGAGTTACACACAGTTGTGAGCCACCGTGTAGGTGCTGGAAATAGACCCTGGGTCCTCTGAAAAGAGTAATAAGTATTTTTAACCATCAATCTCTCTCTCTAGCCCCTCCTTCCTCACAGCTTTTAAAAATCTGTTTTCTCTGAGCTTTGGTGTTTATGTGGGTGTATATTTTGTTGTGTCCCTGGTTTTCTATTTTTCCAGCTCAGCCAGCTGTAACAAGCCAGGACAAACCTTTGTTTCTGAAGGACTTAGAAGCCACATGGAGAGGAGTTAGCTTTCTCTTTGTTAGGAACACCTTATGCCTTCTCATTAGGGCTATGGGCTTATGGGAAGCTGCCAGTCTGTGTCCATATCCCACAGAGATACGTGCCTTATATGGGACCCTGGGCCAGAGGGTTTCATTTTGGTAACTGGAAGGATATAAGTTTTGACTTAAAGTGTTTCTCTTGTCAACAGAACTGGTCCCACATTCAGACTCAAAGGGGCCCATATGAATTATGTCACCCACTGCTCAGTTTTCCTTAAGAATATGCACCAACACACAAGGGTAACTCAAGCCCCAGTATACAAAAATGAATGGAGATGGGATGAGGAGATGCTAAGGTGACTGACCCTGGCTTGCCTGGTGAGCTGGTCTCAGCTGGGATCTGGCTATAAGGCCTCAGGAAATGGGGACAAGGTTTGTACTCAGTGATCCACAGGGACAGCTTTTCTGTGGCTCCTTGTGATATAAGAAATAGAAAAGAAGACAAAGGATGCTCAGGACTGGGAGACCACTTATGTACTCTTGAGACCAGCAGCCATGGAAGACAGGCCCCCTGGGAATGCAGTATAGAAGATTGTTTTTCTCTGTACAATTCCAGGGTCCTCCAGGGGACGCCCACATATCCTGTGTGGATAAACATGAAAAGTGTTATATTAAATGTTAATATTCTTCTGTCTCCAAGGACTCTTGAAATATAAACACTTGCATCTGAAAGGAAAATTATGAACTTTATAATTACTCCCCGAGTTCTCACTGCTAGTTAGTAGATTTCTAGCCCGAACAAGAAATCTAAGCTAGAAAAGACCATAGAAAGAAATTGACCTCATATGGGTTTCCGTGTCAATGGTCATTTTGTTTTGTTTTGCTAATTAATCATCTAGATTGTGGCACATTTCAGAAAGAGCACATTTTTGGCAGGCTTCCTTAGAGCTTTGCATCATTTTATACATAGAAGGAATCATGTTCACACCTATTAGCTCATCAAATTTTCACAAACTCTCCTGTTAAAGTTCTGGGTAGTGATTAGGAGAAAGCAATCCCAAGGGAACATGCCAAGTGTAACCATGGCAAGTTTTAGGGTTCCAGAAAGTGCTAAACAACTGTATGTGTCCAGTAGGTATTGCCAGCTTGCACAATATTCCCCAAACGTTAGTGGCTTTGTGCAATCAGAATGCCTTTCTTCTTCTTATCACTATCAAGTTCGCCTGCAGGGAAGGACAAGGTGCTCACGTGCCCGCATTCATGCCAAGCCTTCTTTACCTGCTCTGCTATTCTTTCCAACACAGGGGCTCAAAAATCACCGCAGAAGGGGAGCACATGAGTGGCTTTCCCCAAGAATCCTACTTACAAACCTCAAAATTCTTCAATCCCTTTCCTGCTCTTAGCTCATTCTTAAAATTTGTGAAACAAATGAACAAATGTTATGTTTCTAGTTGTCACTGTGACCTGGGGCAGTCTCTGAAGAAATAATTGTGAGGACTGGAGAGATACAGCAGCAGGTAAAAGCAGTGATACAGGCCTGAGCACCTGGATTTGATTCTGGGGAGGGAGAACAGACTCTTAAACATTGTCCTCTGTGTGTCTGCATATGCTCCATGATACATGTGCACTTGCCCCCACATAATCAAAATAAATCTTTAAAAAGTATAAAAGGGATCATTGGAAGCTTGACACCCCAAAACCTCACTTCTCTGAAGTTTGGAGCAATATTATCAGCATCATGTTGAAGCTTATTAGAAATGTTGGACCTGAGCTCTGACTGACCTTAGCAATATCCCCAAATAATTCTAGACACAATTCCGGTTGGCAAGCACTGCCCTGGAAGCGCTCTGACCTGGTACCACAATGACTCTCGGAGCTGGGCACTGAAGGCTATGCAATAGTCACACACGGGTTGTGAAGACGGCTTGGTGGGTACTGTCATTTACTCTGCAAATCTGAGTGTGGATCCTCAGCAGCTATGTAAAAGGCTGACCATGGCTGTGCTTGTTGTAACCTCAGCATTGGGAAACAGAGACACCTGGATCCCAAGAGCTTGCTGGCCAGAAGGCTGTAAGAGACCCAGACACAAGTCAGCAAGCATGAATCCATACACTCATGTGCATGCACTATACATACAAGCTTGTATGAATAGCTGCTCATGCACACACAGGTAAACACACACGGAAATAAAAAATAATAAACCTTGAATGTGGGCTCTCCTGCCCTCCCCTGTTATACCCTTCTGCTGCATACAGGAAACACATCTCAACATCAAAGACAGATATTACCTCAGAGTAAAGGGTTAGGAAAAGATTTTTCCAATAAAATGGATCCAA